GGTGGGGGGGGGGGGGGGAGGGAAGAGGGGCTCTAATTGGTTGTGAAAACTGAAACTGTGCCTTCAACCGTCACACTACAGATGTTTAGGAAGCAGTTCTAAGGGGTAAACTTCACTGGTCAAGCTGCCGGTGGCCCGTTAATCGAATCAATGCTCAGAGGTGGGTTTATCTCTTACTCTATTCGGATAATTTCTTTAACTGCTTCCGTTTAAAAAATGAAAGTGAATTTTACAGAGTTTACTATCAAAGTTTCCAACTGGGAAAATGTTCAAGTGCGTCGCATCTGTTTGACTGTAACAGTGAATGTCAAATTATAGTATAGTTTATTGTCGTACTGTCAGTAATGCTACACTTCACGAAAACTAAACCTCTTCAGTTCAGCTAAATAGCTAGATTCCACATCAGTTTGTACTAGGTTACTAATGCAGCTACCAATTCAGACTTGTTTCTTCAACATTTTCTCAATATGATGGAAATAAATACATCGTAAAATGTTGGGGAACAATGTATATATATATATGTAACACCGGCTTGTAGACAAGCATGGTGCCAAGGCTACAACAATAGTAACAATAACAATAATAGGGGGCAGGTGGATTGAGATATAAAGCGAAGTGGAGAGAGTGAAACAGTTAAACGCAGGAAAATGGTGGATAGTTGGGATAACAAATATTTTTTGTTTCACCGTACACTTTTTGAAGTTTTTTGTGATTTTTTTTACTGGGCACGGTATTTCGACAGACAGACTGTACAGCATTCGCGCCACTGACTTCTATTATTGGTCATATCTCTCAGCGTCTCTAAATAACGACAATCCTCATCCCTTGGGCCCATCTTTGAAGGCGGGCTGCACCAACCGAAGCGAGAGCTGAAGCCAGCTTCTTCATACCTCTACGCCATGTCATGGTGTGACCGCCGCAGCGCTTCTTCCAGCCTTGCTCAGCATGTGCGAAGAGAGCACAGAGAGGTAGACGATGGGCAGACACATGCAATACGTAACCAAGCCATTGGTGGTGGTATAGAGCGATTACTTCGGTTAGAGAACGACTGTCCACTCCAGCACACGACGACGAACCTCGACATTACTCACCCGGTGTTCCCACCAGACACGAGCAATGCTTCGGATATATCGGTGGTCGAATACAAAAAGTCGATTAGCATCCTCAACGCTTTCAAAGATGGCGGTTTTTCAATGGTTCATCTGAGTAGCGAGTGAGTCGAGAAGGGTGCTTTGTATAGCTCCGAATGAGCCAAGACCCATTAGTAAATATTATTCCCACTGCTGATGGGACCCAACCAAGTCGAAACAGCTGTTGAGTGCTTCCCAGCTTTTCAGCTCAATCTTTATTTACACGATGAATTCATTAAATAAAGAAGTACTACTACTACTACTACTACTACTACTACTATTGTCGTCACTGATCACATTGTAAACGTAACCGAAGCGTTCTGACCCCTGTATACATTCAGAACGGGACGATCTAGACACGTGCGGTTTCACATTCTAGCCACAGCGGCGACAGTTAGCATCCGTCTTAACCCCCTCTGTGTGCTCGGGAACAATTTGTGCAAGCACTCAAGCTCGGATTGCCGACAAGTGACCTGTCATGAAACATCAGAGCAAATGATAACTGGGGGCCAATTATGACAAACTGTTAAATACTTTAATTACTTTCCCTTTTTATCCCTTGTATATCCTTCTCTGTTACTAGTCATATTTATTGTGTTGTAATGGCATGATCAAGGCACATTGAAATGCTCTTTTATTTGCTTCAGTAATTCCCCAAATTGCAATTTCAAAAATGACCCTATCAGCTACTATTTTTTAGCCTGGGTTGTTTTGATCATAAGATTAAACTCACGGCAGGTTCATTCAACTGTCTGCGCCACTTGAGATTGCACAGCTTAGCTCCATCATAGTCACATTTTCTCACGTTTAAGAGAAAAATATTTGTTTTGGTGAAGCATCAATTTAAATGTGCATGTAGTAACGTTCGTATTCGGTGAGAGCGAGACCGGGAAGCCGGCATCAATTCACCTCGCTGCACGATAATGTCAGTAATTCTCTTTTCATTTATTTCTGCAGACAGTCTTTCCGATCTGCCGGAAGTTTCAATCATCGCAGATACTCCATATGCCTCGAGAGTTTCGCCTAAATTTGATGTTCCACTTTCTTCTCCCACATTTTCCGGTGGGAGGCAGATTATTGACTCAATACGGAGGCAATCCAGTGTTCAGCGACCTGATGCAGAAATGAGAAAAGCTGCGCACAGGCGTTCATCTCTCGTAGTTCGTCGGCAAGCCGATCTTTTGGAGAAACACAAGGCTGCAGTAGCTTTTGATGGAGGGCCTCCATCTGAAACAGCACCAGAACGAGAATTTCGGCAAGCTAACGCTTCCGCCAAACTCCGACGCGGCAACTACGACAGTCTCAATTACGCTCCAATGGATCAAGTCACAGTCTCATCCCCCGTAGTCCGCTGTTCTTCTGCGTCTGGTGGACATCGGGGATTTAGCCGTCGTTCGGAGATGTTAGTCAACCGGGCGTTAACCGTATCTGAAAAGTCCCGCCGACCTTTTTCTGAGGTGACAGCATCATTTGATACGACAGAAAGTCTGGGCAAACGCTCAAAATTACCCATCGAATTCCCGGAAGCTTGTTATCGGCAGAATTCGGTGGATTCTAAGAAGAAGGGAGCGGAAGAGAAGACGATCGTCCCACAAGGTCTCAAAAATTTAAACTCAGAAGAGGTGGGTGCTCTAAACGAGGTCATTGATCTATTGGAAAATTATCACACTCCACATAAACCATATGCAAAACTTACTTCGCGAAAGATTGTGACGAAGGACAAGCTGAGAGAGAAAAAATCGCCCATCAGCGCTGTCAAATCATCACCAGTTCCGAAAATCGTAACCAGTCCATCTGCCATTGACGAGTTCGATGCGAATCCAGCAATCGATGATTCATTCACGCAGTTCAATCTCAGTGACTGGTCACTTGGGGATAACAAAGATACAGAAGTGTAAGTTGATTGTATAGTACTCGCTTGATCTCATAGCTAAGTTTTCTTAGGTTACATTCCTTCTCAATGACGAGCACCTCAAACGATGTTTTAGGGATCACTCATAATCGAAATCCCTGTTATCTCGTACATCAAGTCATTCAATTTTTGTTCACAAGTTTTTCTGTTTTCCATGGTATTAACATCACACCTGCTTTGTTTTTGTGCTCTAACCGAGGGTACCCTATGGAAACCGAAAATAGGTTTTGTATGCATCAGTCTGGCACATCTTATTACCCTCGCCCCATCCCCGTCACCCCCTTCTCCTCGCGATTTCAGCTGGACTCCGAACTGTAGTATTAATTGGTGGTGCGCCAAGCGATGTTGAGTTTAACACTAGATACTTTGAGACTGTAGGGGCAGTAAACTTGGTCATTACGGGGACAGGATAAAAATAGACTGTCCGTGTTCGAACACCGCTATTTCCGCAGCATCGCACGAGTGTGATGGGGAAACCGGACAAGCAGTGCTGAAGTTAGGCGCGGAGTTTTAGGTAATCGCGGTCGCCTACTGAAGCAAATGGTCGACCTCTAGATTACGCTAGTTCTGACGTGCTGCGCATGTCACCAAATAGATTGCGACGACTAGCGATGCTTACCGAGGCAGACATTAGATAGAAAAAAGTCAAGGGTGGTCAAATTAAGACCTGGCATGAGGGTATAAAAACCCTTATCGGAACATTGCGTCATATAGATCTCGTTAGGCTCCCTGGATGGGAACCCCGAGATCATGGTCACTGGTGGTTAGAGACTTATCCACAAGAAACGTTTCAACTGCGCGTCTCCGGGGACCCCATCGCTTCAGCGTCTGGTCAAGCAGGCGTTGGTATTGCCTTAAGTGCCAGGGCCGAGGCTGGTCTATTGGATTGAATCTCGATAGATAGCCGACTATGCGCAGTGAAACAAATAAGGTCAAAAAGTAAAAACAAAATGAGCGATGCTCATTCGTGGTTTCTGTAGCCGGATACGGTCAAGGACGCCTTCTATCACAACCTACATGAGCTTCTTCTCAAAGCATCTAAGATGGATATCGTGATCCTGTTCGGAGACCTAAACGCACGCGTTGGACGTCTGACACCCAATGAGACCCACCTTGATGGTCATCATGGCCTTGATAGCTGTCGTTCAGATAATGGGGATAGACTTTTTAGCATATGCTCAAAACACGGTCTGTTTCTCGTTACCACGAACTTCAAACACTCTAAGCGTCACCTCGCCACCTGGCATGACCCCTCTTCGGCACAGACGTGGAGTCAGATGGACCATATAGCTATTAGCTATAGATGGAGAGGATATGTGAAAGACTGTCGTTCGTATTGATCTACCTGCTTGGACTCCGACCACGCAATGGTTTGTGCTAAGTTGTCTATGCGTTTTGGTGGCCGCAAAAAGATGCGATGCTCGACGTCGTTAAGCTCTCTGACCCGACCGTACTAGTCGATTACCAAAATGAGTTGGCCGCCAGGCTAACTGCTACCCCACCAAGTAGCGTAGGTCAGCACTAAACAACCATTCAAAACGCAATGTATTCAGCCGGTTTGCACAGTTGTGGCTTAACCCGCCGAGTTATAAATCACTGGGTCTCCTCCAACTCTCTCAGACTCCTCGACGCGCGTCGCGCAATCCCGGCAGACCGTGAGTACAACGAACAGCGCCTCTTCCTGAAGCGTGAACTCACAAAGAGTTTGAGAGACGACAGAGAGGCATGATGGACGCTACGTGCAAAGGAGATGGAATCATCGGCTAGGTGTGGAAACACCCGGCAACCCTTCCAGCTCATCCATGCTACAGACCCCAAAAGACAGCACGTTAGTGAAACAATCTGCGAAGTAGACGGCACGCTAATAAACAGCCTTCGCCGGCGATTGAAACGCTGGGTGGAGTACTTCACATCGCAGTTCAACCAGCCTCCCCGAGCTGGCTGCTCCGAGCAGCTCTCTTGGGAGTGCACCCTGGTAACTTTCCACGGGACCGCCCACAGAAGCGGAGATCCGAAAGGAACTCCAAGCCCTGAAACACCGCAAGGCAGCTGGATCAGACTGCCTGCCACCTGCCCTCTTTAAAGATGGTGGAGATGCTCCCATAAGAGAACCTGTGAGACTGTTCTCGAAGATCTGGGAAACTGAAAGTGTATCGCACACATGGGGAGAATCGGTTGTCACACCTATCTACAAGAAGGGCTCTCGCAAGGCCTGTTCCAACCACAAGAGTATAAGTCTGATTCCAATAGCCTCGAAGCTGCTGGCGTCCGTTTTATTACGCAGGTTATGCCCTTTCCGTGAGAAGCAGGTCAGATTTCGTGCACGCCGTGGATGCATGGATTAAATCTTCACCCTACGTCAGCTACTAGAACACCGCCACTCATACAGACGACAAACCATTGTCATGTTTTTAAACATCAGAGCGGCTTTCGACTCTATCGATCGCTCCGCACTGTGGAACTGTTTGCGGAGATACGGAGTACCGGAGAAGTATGTCTCACTCCTAAAAGCGCTCTATCACCAGACCTCGGGGAAGGTTAGGGCCTATGGTGAATTTTCACCCTCATTTCCTGTCACCAATGGGGTGCGACAGGGTTGCCCTATCTCTCCGTTTCTGTTCAACTTTGCCATAGATGATGTCCTACAAAACGCGTTACATAAGGTAACCAACGCCGAGCTTCTTCCTGGGGACAGAGTCGGCTGGGTCCCTTAAGATTTAGATTATCTTTGGCTGTAGACACAGCGGGATATGGCGTCGAACCGAAGTCAGTGGCGCGAATGCATCCTCTCCTGTCTGCAATCCCAAAAATAAACAAAAACAAAAAAGACCCCTCAAAATTGCGTGCAGTAAACAAACAAACAAATGTTAATTCCCGAAGTTAAATGTTTTATTTTCCCCGATTTTGTACCTATATTTATTTCCTTCACCTACGGTTATTTGGCGGTGTCTGTCAAGATTGGTGTTTAACACGGAAGTGCATGAGTGATGGTAAAAACGGAAACTGCTGGGGCGATAAACGTTCATTCAAAGTGTAATGCACCACTAAAGCGTGATGTGTACAAATGTCAAGTGGATGCATTACGCTATAAAGTAAACGTTTTTTATCTACATTTTATATGTGCATCTCTGAGCATACTTTTATTTTTGCATCTTCAGGATCACGGATCTTCAGGACACGGGATCAACACCACCACCACCACGACCACTCAAAACAGTACCTGTTCCGGTTAACAAAGCCCTCCGCGGTCAGATCACAGAGGTGGACAAATCCAGGTATGATTGAAGAACCTTGAGGAGAAAGCGCTCAGTGTCCATTTGATAGCTTGCAGTGGTATAAACTCACTTGTGTTTTAGTCTGACCAGGCGGACACAGCATTCTTCTCACAAAGAACCCGTGTACTGGTCTCCTTATCATGATAAGTATTGTGCCGTGCTGTGTTTGGTGCACAGACAAGTGTGAAATTGTGATAATACATCCCATTTGAATGCAGTGCTTGCAATTAGCTCAGCATATTTCATTCTTTCCGTGAAACCCACAGTCCACCTTCAAAACCAAGTGCACTGATTCTTGTTCCCTTTTTCAGGGATCGCGTTCTGATCAAAATCGATGTGGATAAAATGGGTGCTGTGGATCGTGTGGCCGATACTCCCGTGGAAGTGACACTTCTCGATTCATGGTATGACTGGTTTTGCTCAGTTGGTTCTTTTCTACGTATACACTAGATGACCTTGAATCGGCCGCGGTCACCTATCTGATTTATACTCGCTAATTCCTTGTTCACTGAAGTCTCCCTCCCCACAATTCCAGTATCGTTCAGTCGGCCTAAGCGTAGAAATTTATTGACGAATCCTCTTCATTGATGTGATGAAATTAACTTAAACCTGTGATTTGATTGCTGTCTGGTTGTATTGGAGTTTATCTACCGTTTATCTACCACATAATGTTTTTAAGTACAGTTAATTGCGTACGAAACAACGCTTATCGTGAGCATCAGTAATACTGCTATGTGGACTGAATATTTTTGCCTTTGTCTTCAAAGTATTTCTACTCACCTAATGTCTTGGAAAAGTTGCGTTCCAAAGGTTTATTGATTATCTTATTCGTTTGTATTTTGTTTCCTCGAATCGTCCTATGAGATCTCAAAGTTTACGTAAAATCGCTATGTCATTTTGAATTAGTCTGTTAAGTTTCCTATCCTACCTTGAACGATTTCGGCGATCCTACCCTCACTTGTAACTTATAGTCTCCTCGCCTCTTCACCGGACAGTTGATCCTTTTTTCCTGTTCTGGACACTGGTTCTGGTCTTCTGCGTTAGATTGCTTCTATCGCTCTTGTTCTCCTAGTTCTTCCCTCGTTAGTCTCTCACACAAATCACCATCTGCGATTGTGTTGCATCGCTTCTTTTCAATGTTCCTTTTCATATGAATATCTCAGCTTTCTCCCTTAATCGTCACCCTTTTCGACAACGGGATAACCGCAATTGTTCTCTTCTGCATGTCCTCCTACGCCTTACACTATTTAGCGCATGGGGTTAGCCCCATTTTAACTTATCTTCTGAACTCACTGAGGTGGTCCCTCCCCGTTGAACTTTTCTCGTCCATGTCGTTCTCATGCAGGTAGTCACCCCTATCAGGTTTCAGTCCCCAGATTATCGAAATTGTGGAACACTCCTCCCAGCCCCGTATTTCCAATCACTCATAATTTTACTCTTCAAAAACAGGATTAAAAAATTGATTCTCGCCTAAATGTTTTCCTACATATCTTCCACCCCTTACAGTTTGTCGTTGTCTATGGGATCTACCCCTTTTGCTTTTTGTGTGCAATTAAAAAAATTGTATGACAAACATGTTGTATCGGATGTTCTTACCAGTGGTGACCCGTCCGAGGCAATCTAGGTGAGCTCGACGGAAATCGCCATCCAGTGCGATTTGAGCTGTGATGTGAAACATCTTTATATTCCTGAGTGAAGAAAATTTGAGAAGATTTAAAGCGTTCTATCGGATCAGTCGTTCTGTATCTGCTTTATTATTCCGACCGCTTTGACGTGCACTGACCATCATTAGCCGTGTCTCTTCAATCCCGCTGGACGAGTTGATAACCGACTTGTGCGAACGTCATTTGAGTGCATGTGAAAAGTTTGAAAAGTTATCGAACTATACATCCCCCTGCACACACATTTAATTTGCTTATTGTTCCTATCCGTCAACTAGATCCCAATACCGTTCTTTTCCCCCTCGAATGAACATATCGTAAAACGTTTCAGGAATTAGCTTTTTCTTCCTTCTCTCTCTCACTAATGTAGGCTTCGCACACACGGAAGTCACAATTACAGTACAATACAATACAATTACCATTGTGCATTCAATACATCGATTGAAGGGGATAAAATTATTATTATTGTTCGTGTCATTATCGTTTGGTTTTATGGATGTATGGTGTATGAGAAACTGCTTCTTTGATCAATGATATTTCTCACGCCTTTTTTATTGCATACCTAAATGTGATCAACAGGAGACGGGGCTAATCCCATAGTCAGGAGGACCTGCTGTTCAGTGGTGCAAACCGGCAACCTAAGCCTCGGGATTTGGTGTGGCGAATCACATAAGGCCCTGATAGATCAGGTGTGCTATTGAACCGGACGACAGCGAAACAGCCTACCATCAAAGTCGGGTGGCGGTGGCGGGGCTCGAACCTCGGATCATAGGGTCCAAAGCACACCGGTAACAATGACAAAACTACTGTGACACCACCCTTTCCCTTGGTTAAACTTTCTCTTCTGTTCAGCACCGAGTTCGTTGGAACTGTCGGTAGAAAAACTAGAAGCTTATCGTCAAAGATATTGACTTCTGTGAATGGGAACGCATTTTACTCGATTTATCCACACAACTGTCGACATGAATGTCCCCTCCCCCTCCCCCGAATTCGGATATCTTATATCTGATACCATTCACTGTCACCGTGATCGATACATTCCATCGATTTTTTCTTTTCTCAGGGCCGATAGTGACTTCACCGTGGGTGATACAGTCCAAGTTATTCCCGGTGTTGGCAGTGCTATTCAAGGACATCGAATCACAATAAGTGACTCCTCAAATGTACCGGAATCCAAAATGGGATTGGAGACTCACGTGCCGTGCACTTTGGTCCAACATCCGGACTATCTCATTTCGTGCACCAAGCTTGTCGGTAGTCTCTATTGCACACGAAGATCCATTCTCGAACAATTTTGGCCGTCCGGGGAAAGTGGTCTGGAAAAATCGTTTGCCAACGCGGAACAGACCAATCAGAATAATTCCGGTTTTGTTATGCTACTGGGGAGTCTGTTGCACGAACTATTTCAGCAGGTAATCAAAGTGTCTGTGTTTGATGTCTCGGACTTCAGAGATGCATTGTTTTTCAGCTAAATGCTCATGTGACCTATGACTGGGCCGAGGTTAGATATAATCGACTTGCAGTGTTAGGCGCTCATCGTATCATTCTTTGAGTACTTTCCATAGGCTAACAGGCACGAGTCTAGGTGACGGTAGTCAATGTCCAGTGGTAGAGGCGTGTGAGTGCTATGTGAAACTTATATCATGAACTTGAAACTGACCACTGGAGCCGACCCCAGTACTCTAGTGGGAACCTGTGGGACTTAAAACGGAGTTCGTGCCGTCATACGATTGACGGGTGTACGGTGCTGTTGATTCCTAATGTGGTTGAAACAGTTGTACAATAGTGAGTGATTCCGGGTGGTATGTGTTGCACGACGATACTTTGTGGGATCAATTATCACTCACTATTCTCGCACGACTAAAATGAGATATGTCACAGCATTTGGAGACATCAGTGATTTCCAATTCCATCACAATGTTTGAAGCAATAAATCCCTTCTCTTTTTGATCCGGGTTGCCACTCTGTGAGCTAGAGCTCGGTCATCGAAGTCCTTGTTCCTCGGACCGTTTTTTGGTTAAAATAATTATCGCGGTAGATCCGGGAAAACATCGACTATTCTTTTCCTTCATCAGTAACTGTCACCGGCGTGTTTTAAACCCTGTCATCCGAGGTTCGGGCCCCGCCACCGCCATCCAACATTGATGGTAGGTAGCTCAACTTCCGTCCGGTTCAATACCACGCCTGACCTAACCGGGCCTTATGCGGTTTGCCCCATCAGGTCCCGGTAATAAGGTAATCGGTTTTCATCACTGAACAACAGATCTTCGTGACTATCGGGTTCGCCCCATCTGCTGTTCATCACACAAGTGTGTGTAATAGTAATAATAATAAATAAC